ACTACAAAAATTTGACCGTTATGTATCCATTGGTAGCCTCCTTTATAAGCTGAAAAACTCCATCTGAAATTTATTTTAACTTCTCTTTGAGCTTCCTATGTCATATGTTCATGAAATTTGAGCAACATTAGTGATGGATAGGTCGTGGATCAACTTGCACCGATCGACTCCGCAATACTTGGCTGGTCTAAATTATTTCTTGGATTTGCTTTTGCCAACGCTACCATAAATGGTAAGATTCAGTGTCCATGTCCTAAATGTAATTTCAAGAAGTGGCATCCCAAAGATATTATTAACATTTGATCTTTAAACCCTTCCTGTGAGAGTATGTATTTTGGCAACTACATGGGGAACGATCAGATATGGTTGCTGAGTCAGTTCCAGTAGTTTCACGGATAGGAGTTCGAGTGGATGAAGCTAATGCCATGAACGATGTTGTGTGTGATGCTTTTAGCATTCACAAAAGTGAGAATCCCAACGAAGATGAAGAAGAGGGGCCTCAACCGGAGTTTCATAGAAACAAAACTGCTCGGGAATTTTTTGATCTCATGAGCAAAGCTGACAAGCCTCTTTATTCTAGGTGCACAAAGTATTCTAAGTTGTCATTCTTGGTGAGGTTGTATCATATCAAATGCTTGTGTGGTATGACTGACAAGGTGATGTCCATGCTGTTGGAATTACTGTGAGATTATTAACAAGTTTGGCTTGAACTACAAGAAGATAGATGCATGCCCAAACAACTGTATGTTGTACTGGGGAGATGATGCAAACAAGGAGATTTGTATGAAATGCAAGACGTCTTGCTATAAGTTGGTACGGAAGGGGAAAAAGCAGAAGAAGAAACTAGCCAAAATTCTCAGGTACAATTTATTATAATGTGTTACTTGTTCTGTCTCTAAATCTTCGATATTTAAAATTCTCAATACAATTGATTATAATGTGTTACTTGTTCAGTCTTTAAATATTTGATATTTGAAATTTTTAATACATTATTTCCTTAGATACTTTCCTTTGAAACCACGGTTGCAAAAAATATATATGTCATCAAAAATGGCTTAGCATATGAGGTGGCATGTGACTGAGGAAAATCGAGATGGTAGGTTAAGGCACCCATGAGATTCGAAGGCGTGGAAAACATTTGATGTGAAATTTTCAAACTTTGCTGGTGATCCTAGAAATGTACGTCTTGTGTTGGCAACTGATGGTTTCAATCCCTTCAGAAATATGAGCACAAGTTACAGTATCTGGCCAGTAGTGTTAATTCCATATAATCTACCACCTTGGATGTGCATGAAGTAGAGCTCCTTTTTGCTTTCTATGATCATTCCTGGCAAGAAAGCACCGGGACATGATATAGATGTATACCTGCAACCGTTGATACACGAATTGATTGACCTATGGATGAATAGTGTTGAGGCATATGACTCATATGACAAGCAACTATTCAATCTTCATGCAGCCTTGATGTGGACAATAAGTGATTTTCCTGGTTTGGGAACTTTGTCCGGTTGGAATGTGCATACTGGGTTGTTCTATCCTGAGTGCAATTTTGATTCCGTGCCATGTTGCCTTCCAGACAGTCGCAAGTGGTGCTTCATAGGACATCGACGGTTCTTCAATTCCAAGCGTAGATTTAGATTGCAACGGATTTGCTTTGATGGGAAACAGGAGAAGAGAGATCCTCCTGTTACTTTGTCTAGTGTGTATATTTTGCGACAGTTAGAAGATGTTAATATCGAGTTTGGTAAGAATGTGGATCCTGACTGACTGGGACGATGATCTCGTGAGACAACCTATGCAATGGTAGAAGAGAAGGATATTTTTCACTCTTCCTTATTGGGAATCTAATTTACTACAACACAATTTAGATGTTATGCACATTAAAAAAAATATGTGAGATAATGTGCTATATACGTTGCTCAACGAAGCTAGAAAGTACAAAGATCATCTCGCAGCTAGAAAAGATTTACGAGCCTGGGGAATTCGTAAAGAGGCTTGGCCTGATGAAAATGACAAGTTTCAACTATCTAAATTCACCTTGACGAAGCAAAACAAGGATATCTTCCTTTCAACGCTGAAGAACATAAAAGCATCAGATGGATATTCTAGCAACATCTCAAGGTGTATCGATCTACAGGCTCGAAAGATTATTGAGTTAAAAAGTCACGACTCCATGTTCTTATGCAACAGTTACTTCCATTAGCCTTGAAAAACACACTTCCTTCTGATGTATCAGTGGTTTTGGTGGAATTGTGTTCATTTTTCAAGAAGTTGTGTGCGAAGGTCTTGATAGCGGAAGAGCTTGATCAATTGCAAAATAAAATAATTCTTACACTTTGTCACTTGGAGATGATATTTCCTCCATCATTCTTCACTATTATGGTTCACTTGACTGTCCATCTTGTTTGAGAAGCAAAGGTTGCTAGCCCAGTTCACTATCGATGGATGTACCCTGTAGAGAGGTACTAGATTATCTTTTATTCCCGCCTCTTTAAATTTCACATTGTTATTTCATTTTCTCGCAATTATTAATGGAATATTAGCTTCCAAGTACTTGGGAAAATTAAAATCATATGTTAGGAATAAAGCGTGGCCTGAGGGGTCAATATAGTAGAAGGTTATTCCGAAGATGAGGTCCCAACTTTATGTTCAAGGTACTTTGATGACATGGAGACATCTTTTAACTGCCCGCGCCACGTAGATGATTCTCCTCCTAGTCCTTCCACATCAACTTTATTTCCTCCCGTCGGTAAACTAGTTGGAGGATATGAATTCTTCAGACTCACTCCCACAGAGAAACTCCAGGCACACAGATATGTTTTGATAAATTGCATCCAAGTTGAACCCTTCATGCAATAAGTATTCTATAAGCTCACTAACTTTTACACTTTATATTTGTTTCTCATTGACTCTTCTAACAAATTACACTTCACTGTAGTGAGTTTAGAAGTTACCTCAAGCGGCAGCTACGGGGGTGTGCGCGTTCCACTGACATTGATAAAAGAGTCCACAAAGAGTTTCCCAGTTGGTTTACACGTCGAATACGTAATGACAACAACCCATACACAGATGAATTCAAAGCTCTTTCCCTTGATCTGTTAGACCATGCACAAAGGTTTACTGCGTATAATGTCAAGGGCTTCAAGTTCTGTACGGTTGGACATGATCAGGGATTGCTCACACAAAACTCTAGAGTTTGCGGGACATTTGGGACGAGATGTTATGCTAGCAGTAGTGACGGCGATATGCGCTTTGGAGGTGTCACTTACTATTGAAAGCTAATTGACATCATTGAGTTGAGTTACCAGCTTTTCACCGTAACTCTGTTCAAGTGCTTCCGGGCAAATACGACACGACTTCACGAGGACTTGCTACTGACCACTTGGGCATCATCTCTATTAATTTCTCTAGACTTATTCATATGGGGGAATCTGAAGATGATGAGCCATATATTTTTGCTTCTGAGGCACAGCAGGTTTACTATGTCGAGGACGAGAAATATAAAGACTGGAATATGATCGTTCACCTCAAGCCACAGGATCTTTATGATATGGGTGATGGTGACATTATTTATGACAGCGAACCCTTCCAACCCCCGAATTTTGAAAACTTCTTTCCTCAAGGAGACGATAATTTGGCAATTATCATGTATATGTCTTTTCTTAAATTATTTAAATAATTAACTACTAATTATTAATTTTTTCTAAATATATTATAATTCTAACATAATTTTTTTAATATCTTCTTTCAGGGAGGATGATGATCAAGAATAGCAGTTTCAAAAATTTTTATCATTAAAAAAATTTGCCTTTCATAAATAAAAATGTATAAATTAAAATTGGTTTAGTTTCTTAAAAAATAAAAAATTACAATTTGTAGCGGTTATATAACCGCTACAAATTGTGAAACCGTTATAAATACTAGCGGTTTTATTATATGCTAGAAAATGCAAGGCCGCTACAATATCACTGCAATAATTTCCACTATACATTCATGTCGTTTATTTAGTACAAAATATTTTAAAGCTTATTAATTTATACTCTTCTAGTCCTATTTATAATGTACTTCCAACATGTTTCATACAGATCAAAGAAAACTTTAAACTGCATTAACTCTTCATTAAAATATAACAACTTTTCAACTTTATTTCCATTTAATATATATACCTTTAAAAAAAATAATTATTTACACTATAATAAATTAAGAATAAAATATAACACTTATACTAAAAATTTAATGAAATGACTTATAAATAAGATAAATTTTTTTTCTCTTTATGCCTTATAAATAGAACGATAGGAGTACATGATAAACATGCATCAAGCTCTAAACTAAAATAAAAAAAAAATACTACTCTCATCCTTAATTAATACAAAATCTACTTAACTAATTTGGATCGATTAAAGAATGGATAATACTTGCATCAAGTTTTTTATATCTATTATGTCAAGTTCTCTAATCACACATGATCATGTGTCATATACTTTTGAAATATTAACATTTAGTAGCATTTAATTATAAAAAAAAAGACACATGATCATGTGTGATTAGAGAACTTGAAATAATAGATATAAAAATTTGATTTAAGTTTTTTTAAAAAAATTAGTTAAATTAGTTATTTGTGAAAAATATACGTGATATCACATCATAAAATGACGAGTATTACACACTCTTCGTCTTGTCATTTAATTTAGTTACGTTTTTAAGTCTTCTTTTATATTCTCAAATGCTAATTCATATTACAGACATTCTCACTTATTAGATACTTCCGAAAGCACGATGTGTGTGTGGTAGGGTTTACAATGCCTATATTTTCATTCACTGAGCTATGTCAGGCAAGTATATTATTCATCAAGAGTATAACTATATTACTGGTACTTGTGTTTGGATAAGAAGAAAATTAGAGAGAGAGTTTTTATTCAGAGTATTCTACTGCTTAGTACAATCGACAGGAGCTAAAAAAAACTTTCTTCTGATTAAGATCATGCTCCACCTTAAAATCATCTGAGCCGCATTTCAAGGGAGTGATCGACAACAGATATCTTCATCAGGTAACTTCCATCATTAGGGAGTATATCAGTTTCTACTGACTCAGCCACGGAAGACTGGCTAAAGCGATTGGCTCGAGAATGGACAGCAACACAGCGTTTTGAACTCGCTCTGAGTCGGTCATTGAGGAGCTGTAGAAGGGAGATAATGGTGAGACACGATGAATGAGGTCGATGCTGAAACCTTTTGGGAGGTTAGTATTTGTTGCAGAGACATTAATGGAAAAGGCTGAGCGAAAGAGAATAATAAGAGTGAAAGAGAAAGAGAGGGAATGGTGAGGAAGCATGTTTGAGGATAATGGTTGGGATAAATCACAAACAAGATTTGATGAGGAAGGAAGGAGGTTGAGGTGCGTCCTTATATAGAAAAGTTTGGGTTACAAATTGCACATAGTAGCCATCAATACCAACTCACAAGTCTGAACTAACTTCACAGTAATAAGCATCTTGATTACCGAGTTGTGAAAGGTGGGATGATTAGGATTGGCGATTATGGGAGAGGACACAACCCCATTTGCTGATATGTCGGCTTCTTCTACGAATCTCAACTTAGTCGCAGCCTTTGCGTCGAAAGGAGCGAAACAGTAGAAATCTGCAACCAATCTGATTACCGAGTTTGTGAAATCAGGGACAAATTGAAGGACCATTACCTAGTCCAACAAGTCCTGCCATGTGCCTATTGAACTTCCCAAGATTGTCATGTCCACATCCAACAACTGACTTAGGGAACGAAACAGATTGGCTATCGCTAGTAACAAAACTGATTGAATCTGTTGTCGAATCTCCCACCGTGTAGCCTGATCTCCATATAAAAAAAAAGTACAAACACCGACTTGAGTTTCCGCATCTATGTTAAAGATGAGGGTGAAGAGCACAGTTTCTTGAGCCGCAAGAGTCAGACTTGAAAGTGAAAGATTTTGTGTGATCAAACAATGACACATCTTGAAGATAGCATTGGACAAGGTGAGCATTGGACGACCAAAATCAGGTCGCTTCTTGTGTCTGTCACACTCCATCTTTCTCCGGGTGGGCTGCCAGGGAAGATCTTCATAAGATAGCTTCCATAGTCTAGGATATTTTATACACACACATAACTGCTCGCTCATTTTTTATACGGATATACAATTTTACCATTTATTTATTATTGTGTTAACTTTGTTTAGGTAAGATATAATGTAAATTAAATGAGGATAAAGTCGAGAAGGTGTAGAATTTTAAATATAAGTTAATAATGTTTAAGGTTTTTCTTGGTCTGTACGAAACATGTTGAAAATAACTTATAAATAGAACCAAAGGAGTATTTTACAACTCTCTGCTGCTTTATTCATATCACTCATCTGCATCTGGACTATATAGAGAGAGAGAGAGAGACTCCCGTAGCTAATTAATCACACTTTTTTTGTCCCAATTATCATCAATCAAACTAGTCCTTGTCAAGCGTGCATAGGGAAAATTAGACAAATGCCACACCTCTATATATAGACGCTCATGGTCACCTTTATAAGATTTCTCATAAGCCTGGTCCCTTCCCCATTAGTTGCCTCATAGCCCATAGGTCCATATTAAGACAGTATATCATCCATGAATTATGTATATTAAACTATACATGTATATTGTGGATTTGGGGTCCCCTCTGCTACCCTCTAATATTCTTCCATCTTCCAAATGTTATTTTTTGTTTCTTTTTATTATTATTCTATATAAAATAATGAACTTTTGATATATTATCAGCAAAAAAATGTTGCAGTTTTAAGTTTTTCTATGATTTTTTAAAGAAAAAATTACTCTAAAATTGTGTAGGTTTTTTTATAATTTATATATAAAATTTTTAAGACATCATAAAAAATTTTAAAACTACTGCACCATTTTTTGCTCATAAGATATCAAAATTTTACTCATTTTATATAAAATCTAATAATAAAAAGAAGCAAGAAAAACATTTGTAAAAGAAGAAAAATTTAAGGAGCAGCAAATACCCTGTATATTGCTTGTACGTACTTAAGAGTCTCTACTGTTTAGTACAATCGGCTGGAGCAAAAGAAACTTTTTTCTGATCAAGATCGAAGCCAATCTGAGCTACGTTTCCATAAAAGGAATCTCCATCAGTGGGAGACATTGCAAGGCATATCACACCGTTGGATACGAGAAGGAATAAGTGCTGAGGTTTTAAGGAAATGTTAGCCCTTGTAAAATGAACCTCAAAGTTTGGAATATTCTCGATAGAGTTGACATCGGTGTAACACAGATTTAATTGAGGGTTTTGCACTATCCACTGGTTGGCTCCAATGGCTTTCTTCACCAAAGTTTCAACCTGCTAATAAATGCTTGACCGAAGAGGTGTCAATGCCGTACCAGCATCAATTATTATGTTTCTGTTGCTTTCATCAACCTGCACTGTCTGTTGCCCAATGGTGATACTTGTCAATGACCACTTAGATAATTCATACGGCAGAATAAAGATTCATACATAATATCACTATACAACGTTTAGTACAAAACATTTAAAGCTTAAAGTATTGAATTCTCCCACTTTATTATCCTGTTTCAAGAATCATTTGAATTCGCAAGTTCAAAACTTTAAAATGAAAATACGCAAGAGAGAGTAACATTAATCTCAAAGTAAAGCACATACGTATACCTTCAAGATTGAGATAGTAAAAGGTGGGATTATTAGGATTCGTGATGATGGGAGTGGACACGACCCCATTTGCTGATATCTTGGCTTCCTCTCCAAATCTCAACTTAGTCGCAGCCTTTGCGTTGAAAGGAGGCAAACAGTAGGAAAATTGGCGACCAATCTGATTACCAAGTTGTGAAATTAGGGATAAAGGGCCATTACCTAGTCCAACAAATCCTGCCATACGCCTATTGAACTTCCCAAGATTGTTATGTCCACATTCAAACACTGACTTAGGGAACGAAACAGATTGGCCATCGCTAGTGCCAAAACGGATTGAATCTGCAGCCCAATCTCCCACTGTGTAAGACTGATCTCCATATAAGTAAAGGAACAAACACTGGTTCGAGTTTCTGCATTTATGTTGACGCTGAGGAAGAAGAGCACAGTTTCTTGAGCCGCAAGACTCAGACTTGTAAGTGGAAGATTCTGTGGGATCAAACAATGAGACATCTTGATGGTAGCATTGAGGACAAGGTGAGCATTGGACCTAAATCAGGTCGCTTCCTGTGTCTGCAACACTCCATCTTTCTACAGGTGGGCTGCCAATGAAGATCTTCATAAGATAGTTTCCATAGTTTGGGATTATATCTGTTTGAGCTAGCTGCTCGTTTATTTCAGCTGCATTTTTGGAAGAAGATTGGCGAAAACGATTGACTCGAGCCAGGTAACGCAATGCAGCGTTTTGAACTCGCTCCCAGTGGGTCATTGAGGAGTTGTACAAAGGTGACAATGGTGAGTCACGATGAATGAGATCGATGCTGAAACCTTTTGGGAGCTTATTATTTGTTGCAGAGACATTAATGGAAAAGGTTGATAGAAAGAGAATAAGGGCGAAAGAAAGGGAATGATGAGGAAGCATGTTTGAAGCTAAGAATAAAACTGAGCAGATTTGATGAGCACGGAAGGAGGTTGAGGTGCTTCTTTATATAGAAAAGTGGGTGATCTTTGGGTTACAAAGTGAGAAGTTACTATCAATTAACAATTTTTCAATTTCTTTAAGATAAAAGCAATATATTTATTGATTTAACGCTTTTCCGATCCTATGTAAGATAAAGTCGTAAAGCTAACTTCACTCGAAATTATTAATTATCGTATTCGTAATTGCCCCCAATATTCTTTACTTACCTACTTACAAAATACTTTTGGCTAATCTTTATAAAACAGGGTATTTGTAAAGTGATTATATCTTTCATGCTTAACTAATTACGGAGTTTTTTTTTCTTTTTAATGAAGCTCCGTTAATTGTTTTTCTTCTGGAACTGCTAGACTCCTTAGAAAAATTCTCTGAAATAAAATGAGTTTTCAATATCTTAAAGAGCACCCAGCAAACTATACCTACCATCTCAAATATAAAGCCTAGTAGGGGGATTTATTTTAGTTTTAAATATAAGACCCCAATTCTGTTTGTCTCTTAAATATAACATCTTTCCTAAGCTCTACCCAATAATTATACATGTCAAAGGATTTTGTATCAAGGGAGTATTACACAATGTAAGTGCTATCTTTAGTCATTAATATAAGATTTAGATTACCATTCATAAAAATTAAGAAAAATAGTTATGATAGTTATTTGTAATAAAAGAATGTTGTATCATTGTTAATCATGTGCACTATATTGGAGTCACTTAATGAAAACCTCTTAACATGCACAATCAATATAGGGACTACCTGGAGAAAAATGAATAAATGTTGGAGACAAATTAAAGTAGATTGGGGTCTTATATATAAAACCAAACTGAATCTCTAATTAATTCTTGTATTAAGAACTAGAGGTAGTATTAAATAAGAAGGTATTTTAGAATATAAGTAATACACATTTATTATAAATAACTAGTTTAACTAAATATTGCTTAGTATCTATAAATTAGTTATACTGATTTTATATTCAAAGTTGGAGAGAGTATTTGTCATGTCATTATTTTACATGTCAAATCATTTCACTTGCCTTGCCTGCATGGAACTTGAGTCTTGACTATTCTGACGTCGTTCCAAAGCTTAACTCATTTTCCACAGACCAATGGCGCCATAACTCAATTTATTCGATGGCATAACTGAAAGTCTGAAAATTCCAACCTAGGCTCTCGCTCTCTCGCTTAAAATTTTGTGTTAACTCAACACCAATGAAAAAAGACACATGGAAAAAAATATAAAATTTTGTGAAGAAAATTGTAGTGAGTGGTGTTCAACCGGCAGTAGGCTGCCTCCTGAAAACGACAGCTTCATCCTCATTTTTGCTGTGCAACTCTACTCATAAGACCTTCGCCAATCACCACAACACCCTCTTAAGCCAAGGTCTAGCCAAATTGTAGGGAAAAAGCCAACGACAATTCCAGCTTTGTCGTTTTAGACCTCTTCCACAGTTTCATGTCCGTACTGAAACATCCATCCACCTATGACATAAAGAAACTGTTCAAGCCATGTTGCGTTGGGATGGGAAGGCAGTACGATTGTGGAAGACAAGAGCATGGCCAAGAAATACAAAGTGTGAGACAATCCTAAGTCGGCTTTTTTCTGGGATTTGGTGCATCCAACGCAAGCTCGTTGGCATGCCGTTTATAATAACTTGCGTTCCACCAATGCTCTTCAACAATTTCTTCAATACTAGCTAGCCTGATCTCTTTCCCTCGTACAAATCAAATTAATAACGTTGCAAGAAGTCTATGTTTGTTGTTCGCTTCACAGACATGTCATGTGAGTGGTGATGCCACTTCATGGACAGTATCCGTTTGGCCTTGGAAATAAAACCACTGGGCTTGTTCTTGGATTAAGGTTTGCAAAATTGACTTTAATTTTACTCTACTCTATAAGATTTAGTCAAATAAACACTATATATAAAACATGCACTACTTATGCAACTTTTCGTAGTGGTACTCTAATTGCATTTTGCAAGGTCAATAACCAGGCAAAAGCCAATTAGTGCGGAATGTAATTTATGTTTTCGTAAAAAGTCAGTTTGAATACCTATTTGGTTTTGTAACCCAAAAAATGTGACTTCAGGTTTAATATTTTGCCTCAAAATTAGCATTTGATCTTTTTTTTAATTGGCTTTTGACAATCCAAACAAATTCTAAGGAGTGTTGTGAATAGTTCCCTCCACGTGAAGGAACCGGCCGGATTGTCTTGTTTTCAAAATTGTTTATCTATGCATGAGAGTTTAGTGGATCACATTCAAAAGGTGATGATAACTTATACTCCTCTGGTCCTATTTATATGACAAAGACAAAAGATTTTTCTTAGTTTTATTTATAACTCAATTAAATTTTTAGTATGAATGTCTTGTTTTATCCTTCATTGATTGTAATGTAGATAAGTTTTTTAAAGAATATATATTAAATAGGAGTAAAATTTGAAGGTTGTTATATTTTAAAGAAGAATTAATACAGTTTATAGTTTTTCTTGATCTATGTAAAATATATTGAAAGTACCATATAAATAGAACTATACAGTAGCATTTCAAGCTGTCTTTGTTATGTCATTTTTACATTTCAAGTCATTTTACTTGAGTCTTGATTATTTGCGACGGCAACCTAGTCAACCACCATTTCACTTAATCATTCATATCGCAAAATAAAGATTCATATAAAATGTCACTGCAATAATCTCTATTATACATTCATGTCGTTCGTTTAGCACAAAATATTTAAAGCTTATTAATTTATGCATGATAAACGCGCAACAAGCTATAAACTAAAATAAATAAATAAAAAACTACCTCCCATCCTTAATTAATATAAGATCTACTTAATTAATTTAGGTAGATTAAAAAAAAGACAATACTTACATTAAATTCCTTATATCCATTATGTCAAGTTCTCCGATCGTATATGATCATGTGTCATATATTTTTCAAATATTAACATTTAATAGTGTTTAATTATAAACAAAAAGGACACATGGTTGGAGAACTTAAGATAATGAATATAAAGAACTTGACTCAAGTTTTTTCTAAAGAAATTAGTTAAATAAGTTATTTGTAAAAAAAAAAAAAGTGTTTCTTTTACTTAAATTAACGATATCACATTATAAAATCACAGGTATTACACACTCTTCCGTCTTGTGATTTAATTTAGCTATGTCTTCTTTTATATTCTCAAATACTAATTCATAGTTACAGACATTCTCACTTAGATACTTCCGAAAGCAGGATATACATGCGCGCGCGCGCACATATATACAAGGAGAGAGAGGGAGGGTTTACAATGCCTATGTTTCACTTGAGCTGTGTCAGTCAAGTGCATTATTCATCAAGCGTATAACTATATTACTGGTACTTAGTTTGGATGAGAAGAAAAATTAGAGGGTTTTTATTCATAGTATTCTCTCTCCCTCTATATTTTCCTTTTTCTATTATTATTTCATCCAAACCAAGTCATCGAATGTCTACTGTTTAGTACAATCGCCAGGAGCAAAAGAAAGTTTTTTCTGATCAAGATCATGCTCCACCTCAAAATTAATCTGAGCCATATTTCCGTAAATGGGCATGCCATCTGTAGGAAGCATTGCAAAGCATATAACATCGTTGTATATGCGACGGAAAAAGTTCTGAGGTTTTAAGGAAAGATTGGCTCCTGTGAAATGAACCTCAAAATTTGGGAAATTCTGGATGGAGTTAGCATTTCTGTAACACAATTTGTAATGATTGTTCTGTACTATGAATTGGTTGGCTCCAATCGCTTGCTTCACCAAAGCTTCAATCTGCTCATAAAAGCTTGATGGAAGCATTGTCAATGTCGTCCCAGAATCAATAAATATGTTCCCATTGCTTTGACCTGTCCGCACTGTCTGCTGTCCCACAGTGATACCTGTCGATGAATGGCCATTTCACACAAAACTATTAGGCCAGGGAACAATTCAAGATTATAAAACTAACTAGACACGAAAATAAATGAATCACCTCAGAGTAAAGCATAATACAAGTAGTACCTTCCAAGTTGAGGAAGTAAAACGAAGACAGGGAACCAGGTTTTGTGATCAACGGAGTGGACACAACCCCATTTCCTGATATGGCTGCCTCTTCCCCAAACCTTAGTTTAGTTGTGGTTTTTGCACTGTAAGGAGGCAGACAATAGGAGAATTTGCGACCCACGTTACCCATTTGTGAAACTAACGACAAATTCCCTGACCAAGCCCAACAAGTCCTGCGTTGTTCTGTTTATAGTCCGTTGTTGTTGTGTCCACACCCAAACACAGTCTTAGGAAACGAAGCAGCTTGGCCGAAACTGACTGTTTCTGTACGCCCATTCTCCCATTGTGTATGACTTATTATCCCCATACGAATAAAATAGGTACACCCATTTGATGTTCCACATTTAGGATACAGTTGGCCTTGCACAGAGATTTGGGTAGGGAATTACAAGGGTCTGAGCCACATAAGAGAGTCATATAAGTGGAAGAACTTTTTGGATCAAAGAGGGGTGCGTTTTGAGGATAGCACTTAGGACAAGGTGAACACTGGAACCAAATAAGGTCACTTCCTGTGTCCGCGAGTGCCAACCTCTCTACAGGTGGAGTCCCAACAGATATCTTCATGAGATAACTTGCATCGTTTGGGAATATATCAGTTTCTACTAACTCGCTTGTTTCAGCCGTGGAAGACTGGCCAAAGCGATTAGCTCGAGACATGGAGCGCAACGCAGCCTTTTGAAATCGCTCCGAGCGGGTCATCGAGGAGTTGTAGAAGGGTGATAATGGGGAGTCACGATGAATGAGGTCGATGCTGAAACCTTTTGGGAGCTTATTATTTGCTGCAGTGACATTAAAGACAAAGATGGAAAGAAAGAGAAGAAGGGCGAAAGAGAGGGAATGATGAGGAAGCATGTTGGAAGCTAAGAATAAAACTGATCAGATTTGATGAGCAAGGAAGAAGGTTGAGGTGCTTCTTTATATAGAAAAGTTTGAGTTGTTTGTAAAGTGATTATATCTTTCATGCTTAATTAATTACGTTGTTTTTAATAAAGCTCCCTTAATTGTTTTTCTTCTGGAACTGCTAGACTCCTAAAAAAAAAAATCTCTACAATAAAATGAGTTGTCAATATCTTGAAAAGCGCCCAACAAACTAACTGACTTTTATTCCAACTTCAATTACAAAAGTCAATTAGACTAGAAGCCAATTTTGCCTAACGCCAATCCAAACATTCCCATATCTTTCGTCTTAAATATAAAGCCTAGTAGGAGGATTTATTTTGATTTTAAATATAAAACTCTAATTTTCTTGAACGAGTTTAAGTGTGAAGCGGCTTGATGAGCACAAGGAGCTGATCACCGCTACGCACGGTTTCGTTAAAGTTCAAAATGATCTTGACCGTTCGATGATAAGCGATCTAGAATTCTGAAGGTGTGGGCAGTTTTAGTCTTCTCTCTTCGTTCCCCTTTCTTCTTGGGCATCATTGTCATGCGCAGGTAAACACCTGATCAATAATCTCAGCAAGATGCTTCAGGAGGTGCCTATAGAGAGTAGGTTTGAAGGATCTTGCTTGATAGTTGGGGTGCAAGTGTTGCGACTTTGACTTCTCTGGCTTGAAAAATTCGTTGTCTTGATCTTTCAGAGACATTTTTTGATTCTGCTTCTGCTTCTGCTGGGACTGTCGCCGTGGGTATTTTTCCTTTTTTTTTAATGAAAAGGAAAAATGCATTAATTAAGTAGAGATACAGATTTAAAGGTTCATTACACTAGATAAAACAGGACTAGCCGAAGCAGCTACTTTAAAATGATCAAAAGTAAAAGTCTAAGAGCTGCAGAAAGTACGAGACGATGACATCCTGTGATTGTGCTTTGGGGCAGATTGAGACTTGCCTTTTAATTGAGAAAATATCCAGTTTTTCTTGAATGGCTGCCTCATGAAAAGGAGAGTTGGTATCCAAACCAAAGTTGCCCTTAAACAACAGCGGAGGAGGTTTCTGTTGAAACATTCGAGTTTTCTGCAGGAGACTTTGATTAAAGACTGGCCCTGGTACTTTCTTCGAAGAAGAAGAGAAGCGAAAACTTGGAACTTGCATATTATTAAAAAAGAAAAAAATAGAACTTGCCTTGAATGGAGGGAACATCCTTGACTTTATCTCAGACAAAGACGTTGCATGGCAATTGAATAGAGGGAACTCGTTCTTGACTTTGTTAAAACGATGCGCATAGATGATGAGCTGTCAGTGCTCGTCATCATGCTTAGCACCCAAACTGAGTCCCTATTCTCTTCACCTCTTAAATTTATACTCCTCCGGTCCTAAATATAAGACATTTTTCGTAGTGTAATTTGCATTACGAAAAATTACATTAAGGGTCTTATATTTAGAGTCGGAGGAGTAACATATTTTCTAAACTCGACCTAATAATTATTTGTGTCAAAGGATTTTCTATCAAGGGAGTATTACAAAATGTAAGTACTATCTTCAATCATTAATATAAGAGCTATATTACCAATTTATAGAGATTAAAAAAAATAGTTAAGATAATTAGCTGTAATAAATGAATTTTGTGTCATTGTTAATCATGTGTGTTGTATTGGAGTCGCTTAATGAAAACTTCTTAAAATGCACAGTTAGTATAGGGACTATTAGTGAAAAAATAAATAAATATTAGAGACAAATTAAAATAGATTAGGATCTTATATTTAAGACCAAACTAAATTTCTGATTAACTTTTATACGAAGGACCAAAGGTAGTATTAACTAAGGAGATATTTTAGAATAAATAATACACATATTACAAATAATTAGTTTAACTAAATATTACTTAATATCTATAAAATAAATAGTTATACAGATTTTATATTTAGGATTGGATGGAGCACTTGTCATGTCATTATTTTACATGTCAAATCGTATCACTTGCCTTGCCAGCATGAAGCTTGAGTCTTGACTATTCCGACGTCGTTCCAAAGCTTACCTTATTTTCCACAGATCAATGGCCTCATAACTCAATTTGTTGGATGGCATGACTAAAAATTCCAACCCAGGCTCTCGCTTAAAATTTTGTGTTAACTCCACCAATGAAAAAAGACACATGGAAAACAAATATAAAATTTTGTGAAGAAAATTGTGGTGAGTGGTGTTCAACCAGCAGTAGGCTGCCTCCTGAAAACGACAGCTTCATCCTCATTTTCGCTGTGCAACTCTACTCATAACACCTTCGCCAATCACCACAACACCCTCTTAAGCCAGGGTCTGGCCAAATTGAAGGGAAGAAGCCAACGACAATTCCAGCTTTGTCGTTTTAGACCTCTTCCACAGTTTCATGTCCGTACTGAACCATCCCTCCACCGATGACATAAAAAAACCTTTTAAATCCTTGTTGCGTTGGGATGGGCAGGCAGTACGACTGTGGAAGCGTGGACGACAAGACCATGGCCAAGAAATACAAAGCGGGCGACAATCCTAAGTCGGCTTTTTTCTGGGATTTGATGCATCCAACACAAGCTGGTTGGCATGCCGTTTATAATAACTTGCGTTCCACCAATGCTCTTCAACAATTTCTTCAATACTAGCTAGCCTGATCTCTTTCCCTCGTACAAATCAAATTAATAACGTCGCAAGTCTATGTTTGTTGTCAACACTCCAGAAGATCACTTTATAGAGATGTCGTATGAGGGGTGATGCCAGTTCATGGACAGCATCCGTTTGGACTTGGAAATAAAACCACGGGGCTTGTTTGGATTAAGGTTTCCAAAATTGACTCTAATTTTACTCTAATTCTGCAGCATTTAGTCAGATAAACACTATAAAACATGTACTACTTATGTAACTTTTCGTAGTAGTACTGTAATTGCAAGGTCAATAACAAGGCAAAAGCCAATTAGTGTGGAATGTGATTTATATTTTCGTAAAAAGTTAGTTTGAATACCTATTTAGTTTTTCTAACCCAAAAATGTGACCCAGGTTTAATATTTTGCCTCAAAATTAGCTTTTGAGCTTTTTTTAATTGGCTTTTGAGAATCCAAACAAATTCTAAGGAGTGTTTTGAATAGTTCCCTCTGCATGAAGGAACCGGCTGGATCATCTTGTTTTCAAAATAGTTTAGATATGCATGAGAGTTTTAGTGGATCACATTCAAAAGGTGATGACAATTTATACTCATTTGGTCCTATTTATAAGGTAAAAACAGAAGATTTTTCTGTTTCTTATTTATAACTCAATTAAATTTTTAGTATGAATGTGTTATTCTGTCCTTTGTTTATTATAATGTAGATGATTTTTTTGGTGAAAGAATTGTATATTAAATGGGATAAAGTTAACAAGTTGTTATATTTTAAATGAGAATTAATGCAGTCTAAAGTTTTTCTTGATCTATGTAAAATATGCTGAAAGTGTCATATAAATAGGACAATACAGTAACGTTTGAAGCTGTCTTTGTTATGTCATTTTATATTTCAAGTCATTTTACTTGAGTCTTGATTATTTGCAACGTCAACTTAGTCAACCACCATTTCACTTAATCATTCACATTGCAAAATAAAGATTCATGTATAATGTCACTGCAAGAATTTCTATTATCCATTCATGTCGTTTGTTTAGTACAAAATATTTAAAGCTTATTAATTTATACATGATAAACGCGCGGCAAGCTATAATCTAAAATAAAAAAAAGATACTGCCTCACATCCTTAATTAATATAAGATCTACTTAATTAATTTGGATGGATTAAAAAAAATGACAACACTTACATCAAGTTTCTTATATCCATTATGTTAAGTTCTCCTATCACACATGATTATGTGTCATATATTTTTTAAATATTAGCATTTAATATTGTTTAATTATGAACAAAAAAGGACATATTCATGTATGATTGGAGAACTTGACATAATAAATATAAGGAACTTGACCTAAGTTTTTTTTTTCTAAAAAAGTTAGTTAAATAAGTTATTTGTAAAAAATAGGTGTTTCTTTTACTTAAATTAAAGATATCACGTTATAAAATGACAAGTATTACATACTCCTCTTCCGTCTTGTCATTTAATTTAGTTACGTGTTTTAAGTCTTCTTTTATATTCTCAAATACTAATTCATAATTACAGACATTCCCACTTAGATACTTCCAAAAGCACGATATACATGCTCATACATATATGTGTGTGTCTATATATATATAAATATATATAGAGAGAGAGGCGGTTTACAATGCCTATGTTTCACTTGAGCTAGTCAGTCAAGTACATTATTCATGAAGCGTATAACTCTTGCTGGTACTTGGTTTGGATGAGAAGAAAATTAGAGGAAAAAGTTTTTATTCATAGTATTCTCTCCCCCTCTATATTTTCCTTCTATTATTATTATTTTTTCCGATCCAAACCAAGTCATAGAATCTCTGTTGTTTAGTACAATCGACGGGAGCAAAAGAGACTTTTTTCTGATCAAGATCATGCTCCACCTCAAAATCAATCTTAGCCACATTTCCATATATGGGCATGCCATCTATAGGAAGCATTGCAAAGCATATAACATCGTTGGATATGCAAGGGAAAAAGTTCTGAGGTTTTAAGGAAAGGATGGCTCCTGTGAAATGAACCTCAAAATTTGGGAAATTCTGGATGGAGTTAGCATTTCTGTAACACAATTTGTATTGATCACTCTGTACTATGAATTGGTCGACTCCAATGGTTTGCTTCACTAAAGCTTCAACCTGCTCATAAAAGCCTGATAGAAGCATTGTCAACGTCGTCCCAGAATCAATAATTATGTTCCCATTGCCTTGACCTGTCCGTACTGTCTGTTGTCCAACAGTGACACACTTCAACAACCATTTCACACAAACAATTTAGACCAGGGATCAAAGAGTCGCATAAAATCGAACTGCATAAATCAAGAGTCGTATAAAACCAAACTTGAGA